ACTTCAAAATACAACGGCTCACTTTTTAGTACTGGTCGCAACCTGAGAGTCCTGACCACTTTGAGTGCTTGGTGGGGAGCCAGAGGGGTGATTGCTCTCAGTCCCCACTTTCTAACACTATATGAAGGTGGCACTTGGTCTGAAATCTCTTCAAAGGGTAAGAGTGCTGGGCCTGAACACGAGGTGCTCTGCTACACCTGGTGCTGTTCAAACAACACTCAGACTCATCAGTGGAAGTTATGCAAGTCCCCGCTAGCAAAAACAGAGCAGCCACATGTCACATAATGCGCTCTGCTCCCAGCAGGTGCTTCCAGAATACAAGCAATTAAATAACAACAGTCAACTTTGAAATGGCAAATTGTATCTTTTGTGCTATTTTGGGGAAATTACTTGCTGCCTCAATGAACCAAAGGCTCACATCTTACCTGCATCAACCAATGCAACTAGTTTGTACATCACCTCCCCGTTTCTCCCCCTACACCAGCTTTTCCCAAGTAAAACGCCACCAGCTGTTAGTGGCTGCTACTGCTGAACTGACCAGCATGAGAGGAGAATCCAGCACTCTCTGTTTCATGCACTAAAGAAGTGATAGGCGGTGAGGAAGGAAGGGTGGGGGGCAAAAAAATTAAGTGATTCGTTTGAATACAGGTAAGAAATTCAACTTAATAAGCTTGAAGTAGCCAACTACCTTTGCTCAAAATTCAGATCACAACCCTTTAATTAATCTGCCTTCTTCCTGGAAGAGTGAAATATCAGGTTGACCTCAAACTCCCCTGTCTGGTTTTTGCAGCTCCTGTTTTCTCATCTTACAATGATAAACTTGTTGTGGGGGAGTAACTTTTGGTATTATGTTCACGTCATGCCTCAGTACAACCCACAGCAGAACGGGTCTTTCTAAATGACGTACTAGCATAGCAAAGATCTTAGAAAAATAAGCCAACTCATCATGAAAGATGCATGGAAACATGGCCATAAACCAGCCAGTCGAAGCAAAAATTGCTATGCAGCAGCACACACAGCTCAGCATTGGAGAAATACAAATGAACCTAGCAAATGAACAACTCTAACAGACCCATGTCAACATGCAGAAGGCAAAATGGTGGATCGGGGGTACGGCAAAGAAGTCCCCATGAGACGCGTAGGTGTCTTTCACTTCTTAACAAGCCCCTTCCTCTCTCGCTCAGTAGACCTTTCCCCTAACAACCAGATTGACCATATCCATAATTCAGCTCAAGTTCCTTTATTAAATCCAAAAGCCAATGTTTGCTACATAGTTACTTTAAACAAACATGCTAAAACATCATTACAAAATGCCAACTCTATATTAGGTAGAAACATTACAACCCTTATCAATGACTGTACCCACACAATTACTTACAAGCATTTGAGCAGAATACCTGCAGCTGGGCTAGTGATGGAGACACTAGCTTCTCCTGCTGGCTGGCTCAAATAAATCAACTCAAACTAGCTAAGAATTCATTAATTTCTCTCTCTCTTTTTTTTTTTTTTTAAAACCCCCGATTTTCTCATTACATCTTATTCTTTAGAGTTCTAGAAACTGGTCAGATTTTGCTCCAAACTTCCACATAGGCCTACCCTATTATTCCCAATATACAAAATCTTCTTAATGGCTTTGTTTACCCTGGATGAGTTTCCTCCTAGAGCTTCTTGGAGCCAACATTTGGCGCACTAATCTTCTTGCTATTGTTCACCCACCTTTCCCCCTACATTAGCATATCTACAGCTCAGCAGGCTCCATCCTGATGTTAGCATCCTGCCTGCTTGTCTCTCAAACCATGAATTCCTGGAAAATTGTGATGCTTGTACCCAATACAATAAAACATCCCGTCACCTATTGCATGCAGTACATTTGCCATTCTTATAGGAAGAGGTCTATTTTTCTAAGAAATTCTTCACCTCCAATTGAAGCCTAGACATACAAGTCAGATTGGCTTGAGCTGACCTTGAACACGTTGGCTACGTTCAGCCAATGAGGGATGCTGAGGAAATGCCCTGCAAGCAAACCCAGCTGGCTTTGTTTGAAACTCCAATAGCCAGCACCAGAAAAGCTACTCCGAGATTTTTGCAATTGCTGTCATAGCAAGGGAAGAGAAATCCAACTCAACTTTTTAAAAGGCTTGTATTATAAGAATATCCCGATAACCTTGTGTTTTCACTGACATTCTAGCACTGTGAAAAGGGCTGAATTTACAAGTGAGCCCATGTTTTGCCACAGCTATTTTACATGGTGTTGTTAGCAGTCCTGGGTTGTTTTAAGGTCTTGGACCCTGGTCTAGATTTTGTATTTGAAAAAGGATCATTTGCTGGCAGTTGCAAGTACTTGTTAGCTGAGATGCAATGTATATTGATACATTTCCCAAACTCTTGTTAACCCACCATAATGTTTTTTTGTCCATGCCTTATGGCTGGTTTCTTCTGCATAGACTCAGACTGAAGCTTAACATTTGCTTCCTACATTTATCCCCTTATGTAAATTCCCCCACCCCAATTTGCTGCTTCTACAATTTGCCTATTAATAAAAGTTGTTAGTTAGCAGAATTGAGGTAAGCAATGAGGAAAAAAAAATCCAAGGCCCCTAAAATTCTTGAAATAATCCCCATTTTTCAGTAGCAAGTCATCACTCCCATCTCTGGCATGTTAGAAATTGCTGTACAGCTTTTATGTCCTAGTTTAGCTCCAAACATATCGAAAGGTGAAAAAATGTAATGGACCCTTGGGTCATTCCAACCAATGCGTTAAGTTTATGGATTACTTGACAGAAACAAGATTAATTGCCAGTAAGCACAATCTTACGAGACGAGTCTCTTCTGCCATGGAGTGGCATGGCATCGGCCAGCTTTTCAGTCTCTACAAGGGGGAAATCCTCTTTCAACTTCCACCAGGCAAACGTCTGGGCCGCGCAGCAGTCCCACAGGTGTTGAAAAGTTACCCTCCCAATTTCTTCCAGTCATATCCCCTATTTATGGATGGGTGGTAAACAGGATTTCAATATACTAAGGAATGATCTCCGATTGGTTGCATTTAAAGTTCCCGTGAAACAAAGAACTTTCAAACCTGGATTAAACTAGATTTCTTGCAAGCCTGGAGGGTGGTCTCTTAATTGGGATTCATATCCTGCAAATGCAAAAAGGAAGACAAGTTTCTTATCTTCCTCCCTTCCTTATTTACACTGGTCTGTTACTTCTAATGTTAGTAGAGTTAACAGATAATGAGGTCCTGTTTTCCACAGGTTGTCTAAATGTAAATGTGTTTCCTGTTTAAGCAGGCGGTCTGGTGACACTTCCCTGCTTGGGTCTGACCTGCTGCTCCAGCATCTGTTAGAGGGCCCATTACACGTAACACCAGTTCTTTGCTTAGTCCCCTCCTTCAGCATCTGTTCTTGGTATTCAGGTATAGACATCTGACCTGGTCTCTAATCTTCCAGATTTTCCCACAAGCTAAGACAGGAGGTAGATACAGACATTCAGGATATTAAGTATAGTCTCAGGAGTCTTATTCCAGAACTAGGCCCAACTAGTATCAGAGGTTTCACTATCCCCCACCCAAAACACTGCTACGTGGTACTTTGGTCTACTGGATCCCGTCATCTATTTTCCCAGTCACCTGACATAAGAAGCACAATGACACTGATGCAACCGGAGACCGGCAAGGTTTTACAACAAACCTGTTACCGACTCACCTCGGGGAATGAACTAGATAGGTCCAGCCAGATGCAACTCGCTTTCAGTACGTCGTTCTTCAGTGTCCTCGTTCCAGTCTGAACGTACATAGGAAATCCAACAAATACACCTTAAGCGGGAGACAAGCAGTCTGAACTAAGGGGTTAGAGCCACGAGCAGGAGGTGAGGAATATTGGGCCTCTTTCCCAGCTCGGCCCCTAGTCTGCTTCAAAGATCATAGAGACTGACATTTTGTAAAAATCAGTCATTGAATGCATGTATTCAGACCACTTTGATGTCAAAGTGCCAGTCACCCAAAACTCTAGTTGAAGGCCATGGGAACTGCAGGAACTCAACACCAAGCTGTCACAAACGGTACATCCAAAACTCAGGCAGCACCAAAAATCAGTGGCCACTTGAAGAGGTGCTGCTCTCCATGCTGGCAGATAGTTAAGACATAGACATTCGGGGCTGGAAGGGACCTCGTGAGATCGAGTCCAGCCCCCCTGCCAGAAGTAGGATCCCAGCAAGATAAACATCCAAGCCAAGTTGTAACAGAAGCTACCGTCACTTATAGGTCTGTCAGGAGGCTTAACTATTGTAATGTGCCTCTGGCCCTCAAATGAATACTGCGAGGGGAAACTCATATGGTTCACAGACATCGCTTATTTTCAAGAGGAAAAACTGACTAGGAAGCCTATCCAACTCATCTGAATTTTGATATTAGGAAGTCCTAAATAACATTAAAGAAAAACCCCTGCAAACAGTAAACTTTCCAGTCATTTTAATGTGATCACTGCAATTTGACCACCACCTCAGAGAGGAAAAAAAAAGTTATTCAAGTTATCTGTGCTTAGGATTGAAGTCAATCTAAACAGTTCTTGCTGATAGAGCTACTCAAGAACTTCAGGTGATCAGTGATGCTCTTGTCTGAAAGGCAGGATTGCAAGTGTTGTATATAATACAGAACAGGAATGCTTCTTCTGGAATTAAAGCTGCAACACCTTCTGATGTATTCAAAGGAAAACTGGTATGTAAGTGCATGCACACTAAATATCTGGCATGCAGAACAGTAGGAGTGGATTACAGATTCATTTGAAAACCACATCAAACGAGTATGTCATTTTAGCCCATAGAGAATGCTACTTAAGGGGGGGTGGGGTGCGGGAGGGAATACCAAGAGCTAAGAATAGATTTTCCCAACATCTTCAAAAATTTGGGATGTGCATTAAAAAAAACCCCAAACAAACAACAACAAAGAAACAAACAAAAAAAGCTTGTGTTGGGAATTTAGGCAACAAAGCAGAAGGTGAAATCAAATTTTCCAAAGTATTGTAAAATTTATTGTATAAGTATTGCAGCTTTTAGAATGACATATAATTGCCACTATTGGTTACTGTTACACAATAAGCGTTTACAACAGATTTTTGTAAATTGGCATCAGAGTACATATTCATACTAAAACAGCAAAATATAGATAAGTACTGCATTGCATGTGCTGTCAATAGTTTACATAAGTTTAAACTTGAACAGAACTCAGAATACAGGACTGCCTATAACAAACTCCAAAGCCAAAGCAATGCAACTGGAAGTTTAAGAAAATATTAATACAATGAAATGTGACTATAAGGCAGGCAAATTAGGACCTTAATGTTGTCCTTCATGAGCTTCTATAGTACAGCAAAAAATTTGAAGCGCGGTTTCTGGAAAACTTTTTTTTTTTCTTGTAGCTTTGTGTTGTACATAGAAAATCTCTGAGCTATACAGAGACAGAAGAGAATAAAAATTCATTCTGTTCTTGCCTAGCATTGTTAATGCTACACATCTGGATTCAGTCATTTTTCAACCCTTTAATAAAAATGTTGGGCTTTTATTTTTTTCAATAGAGCAGTTAGTGCAATTTTATAGATTCGTACGCATACAAAAGCATCATTTCCCCAAGAAATCAAATTAAGTTTCCTTATACCCCACCCTTTAGAATGAATTTTAACACATGTAAGGAAACAATGCACTAGATTAGTAAAGCTGAATCTTCCAACCATTGAAATCAAGGGTTGTGAAGGGAACTTAGTTTTACCAGTGTCAGAACCAAATAAAACCCATTCTTCCTTGCCATCCTTATTTAAAAAGCCATGTTCACATTCCAGTTCACTAAGTTTTGGTGGCACTTTGAGAATGCTGTTTGCCATACTGTAATACACCAAGGGAAAGAAAGGTAGCAAACCCCTTTTAAAGCTAACATGACTCTTAAACTTCTAGCAAATAGGCAGGTTGGGACAGGAGGTTGCTAAGCGTAAGCAATGTCTTGTTTCTTCTGTTTCATTTTGTTTTTAAAAAAGGAATCGTTGTTTTAAAAGGATGCTCAGTCCTAAAGGGCTTGAACCTTCCCTATTTGACAACTGCAAAACTCCTAATGGCTTCTGTGGTATCTGACCACAGTCAAGCTTCAAGTACAATTATGTTATCTGCACAAGGGCAAGAAGCAAACGAGGACCAAGATGCAGTAGCTATTGAGTGCAAAGCCATATTTTGATAGGGCAGTGGCAACATGGAACAGCCGTATTTGGTAGAAAAGGACCCCAGGCCAAAAAAATTCTGACATCAATCCTAGCTATGTGGTGAAACTTGAGAGCAGGTTTGGGCCCCAGCGCTAGTATTTGCATCTCTAATACAGAGGATTTTTCAAGACTGCAGAGCGGGGAGGAACACCTTCCCCCCAAAATAAAAAGCTAACAGTGAAATCTCAGCTCCGTTGAAGTCAGTTGGAGTTTTGCCAGATTGGATAGGGAACGCAGAGATGCCGATTCTACATACCCAGAGTTAACTCCGCTGGTAACAGAGCTTAAGGAAAAGGAATAAACAATTAAGCAATAAGCAAGAAAAGATGGATCCTTTTTGTACACCTGCAAGATACAGATTGAAAGAGAAGTTTGATTCCAGATTAAGCCGCCCTTGCTTTTGGCGTATATTGTGCACAAGAAAATTATTCAGTAATACCAAACCCGTAACTTGATCAACTGACCAATGGGTTGCAAGCATTTGGGATGATGTGTAAGTAATACGTGCTCAAACTGGAAGGTGATTAGAAAAAAAAATAAAAAAAAATAGTATGATTACTTTTCCAAGAGGGAAAAAAAAAGTTGAAATTCTGAGTTTTTGAAGAACTAGGCTTCCTTTCAGAATCTTCTCTAAGTGTCCCCCCATTAGACAGTGCCTTCAGGATATCCAAATACCTTTCAGATTAAGACTTGGTTCTGTTATTCTCCAGGCCAGATTCATCTCCACAGGACAAGACAGACCAGTTACTTAACAACCTCCTATCCTGATGACACTTCCACATTTACTATACAGTTTTAGATGTGTGATGCATACTCCACCCAAAACCTGTTGAGGTAACCATTTTTGTAGCAAACAAACTAGTTAGACCACAGAACACAAAAAAAAAAAAAAGAAGAAAAAAAAAAAAAAAAAAAAAAAAAAAAAAAAAAAAAACAAAACCCCAAATAAAACCCAACAATACTATTCACGTATTTTGGCTCAAGAGGGCAGTAGATATTATATTTCTGTTTGTCTTTTGGTTGGGATCTCATTTACAATATCCACCACAGTTTCCTACCTATTGAAGTAGGATATGTGCATAAATGTATTCAAGTTACCTTACAAACAGTCCAAGAAAACGAATGGCATAAAGGGAGCACCTTACTCGGCTAGGCACATCAAACTGGGTCTAGTGGGTGCAAGGGAACATTTAAAGAAGCAGTACCCCTTTTAAATAAGTAATTGGAAAAAATTTAAATATAAGATCCTAAAAGTCAAGAAGCCAAAACACAGTAAATCACAATAATTCATTTTCCCTTATATAAAAAGGGAGGGTTACTGTTTCTTTAATAAGGCACTAAATAGACATGTTACATAAAGGAAAGATACCTTTTAAAAACTTGTAGAAATTCATCAGCTTTGTACCTTTCAAGACAAACTAGATTCATCTTTTTGTGTGTTTATTTTTTGTTGCTGCTGTTGTTTGAAGGTCAGCAAAATTTAGGTTCCGTGACTCATAAAGCTATGAAGACTTCAAGAAACTGTGAAAAAGCAGGCTGAGCTACTGCAAAGGTACAGGACTACTGCTAGGCAAAACAAAAACAAAGCCAAAAAAAAATAACGATCAAACTTCAAGTTCATCTACTCGCCATCATCTTTAAAATATATATAAATATTGTTCAAATGGTCAGAACTTCAAAACCTGTTCTCATGGTTGGTTGGTTTTTTTTTCTTCAAGTAATAGAAAAGTTGCTTAAAAACAATAGTTATTGCCTTTATATCTTTCATTTATGTTACTCTACTAGTTAGCATCCTGCAGAAAATGAAGTTACACCTTGTAAAAATCTTCACTCGTTGTGGTTCCCCCCCTCCCTCTCCCCATCTGACCCGTCCTCACATTTGGAGAAATCCTCTCCCAGCAAATGGAGAAGTGTTGCCAAGCTAGTAATATCTGCACAAGGTAGTGAGAACAATTTTTCCCTTTTGTTTTCTCTCTCTCTCAAATTTCTCACTCTCTCACTCTCTTTCACATACAAATTCACCCCAAGGGTAAAACGGCTACCAGATATCTACACAATATAAAAATGTAAACAATAGCATAGTAAGACAAAATGCTCATGAAACGAAGATAAATTAAAAAAGACGTGACATCCACTGATTCTGAAGGGGTGGGGTAGAACCTTGCCATGTGGGCACGAGGGATTGGTGCTGTTTTGAATGAAGAAATCTTCAGAAGAGGTAAAGGGTTTTGCTTCTAAAGCATTAAGCATATTTCTTTAGCCTTTACTTAATATATCACAGGAGCATACTCATTTCCATCTATTGGACTTTATGCCTCTTTAGCTAGAAAAAAGAAAAGAAATAAAATAAACAACCAGAGGCAGCCTAGAAGAGCTGCAGGTAGTTGGGCAATAGGACTGCACTCTTCATCCCAATAAAAGTTATGGTGTTTCATATAAAATGAAGATGATTTGCACAAGCTGCAGATTGTTCGGCTCGTATTTTCAGTGACACATTTAAAAACCCATCTTAAAGGCAGGCTTCTGGTATACCACCATTTACTCCCATTTGAAAACATCCTTGATGTCAACACCAGGCCCTGCAGCTCAATGTACAAAGAAACAAATGAAGAAAATCACTTTGTTTTCCTTCAGACACAGAAGTTTATTCTCACCCGCTCCCAAAAAGAATTAGAGCTCATCAAAAAAAAAAAAAATCAAGTAAATTGTGTTTGCTTCTGCTAACTTGTTTTCTTTCTTTTTTGATTCACAGAAGCACTGAGAATTTTTTTTTTTTTTTTTTACTATGATAATCCTTAGTGATAACATACAAACATACACACAAATTCCTCTTGTTTTGTAGGGAATGTATAAGACCATGACTGTCATTAAACTACCCATTAGCTGATTGAACTGGATGGGTAATGCTCAGTGAATATGGAAATCAAAGGTTTCAGAAGATGCAGTCTCTCTTACAAGGTTCCTCACAGGGCTGTTTACTTTAATTTTAGGAATTTCCACCCCTTTCCAGCTAGTTTGTTCTCCGTGTTGACATATTAATCCCTTAACAGTTTTGTGGTAGACATGATAGAGGCTTTGACCAACACAAGCACTGACATATTTATATTAAAAAATAGTGCAAAATTTCAACATTTATATAAATAACTCTAAACCCCTGCTTTTGATTTTTTTTTGTTTTTTTTCTTTTTTTTTAGGGTTTTTTCTTTTTTTTTTTTTACAATGTAATACACACTTTTTGAGTTGGCACTCAAAAAATTGCCATTTTTCTTCTAGTTCAGAAAACAACAAAACTTTTTTTTTGTTTTGAATAGGCCTCTTCTAATACAAAAATACTCCTGCTCCTCACACATACAGTTTCTCTTATTTTAATATATATTTATATATATATATTGCAGATCTTTAAACAAAACGTTTTTGTGCAAATATTTTCCTCTTTAAAGTTAAGTGAAATAATCAAAAAACAAAAACAAAACAAAAAAGCACGCACACGCGCACACACACACGCACACACAGCTCAACTAGAAACAAAAATGAAGGACTACAGTTGATTCTTTTTCCTTTTTAAACTTCTAGACACAGCTCAATAAAGAAATGTTTTTGCAAGCTTTCTTGGCTTGTGCATTCAGACCAGACATTACAAGGAAATATTTATACACAGAGAGATGGGGAAGGGCTTTTTATTCTTTGCTCATCTTCCCAACTCTCTCCCTTTCTCTCTCTCTCTCTCTTTTCTTTAAATGAGAAGTGCAGAGTGTTTTATTTACTTTTGCGCTTGATTTTGTTTTAAAAGGGGTGCCCTTTTTGCTTCTCTTTATCTTTGTTCCATGCAGTTGTGCTCTCAAGGCCATTGATTTGTGAAGGCTGCAGTCTGCTACCCTCTAGTATCGAGGGCATCCCATTGTTGTTCTGCTGGTGCTGGTAAAACGTAGATCCAGGATAGTGACCTATCACCTCGCTGTACGTCGGTGGCGGTCCTTCCATTCTACCATTGCTTCCATAGCAGGTTGCACTGATGCCAGAGTTACTGCTGGGAGGGCAGGGCCCTCCATAAACTGAGTTATCTATCAAGTCACTGTCGAAGATGGTTCTGTTGGGGGGGGCTCGGACTGATTCTCTGTTGAGTTCCATTTGCTGCTCTGGATCTCGGAGTTGTAGCGTGCAGGGTCCCTGGTAAGGGGGAGGCTCCTCTCCATCCGACAGCGAGATGGTGGGCGGGAGGTCGATCTCATGCTGCATATAGGGGTACGTTGGCTGGAATCTGTTAAAACGGTCCCTCTGCAAAAAGGATGGAACTGCTAGTCTGTCGCTGGGTCTCGGAGTGTAGATTTGCTGCTGAAGAGAAAGGGAGAGACCGCTGAGTTTCAAAATGCTTGTGCGCGAGTCCTTACCCACAACCCAGTCGACACCAACACTGCCCTCACCTCTGTTATTCCATTTCCTGACACTGTGCTTTCTGAAGGCCACAGGCTTCCTTCCTACAGTGGGAAGAATAGGAGGAGGGTTGAGAATCATTCATGATCAGCCAGTCTACAAACCACAACATTTTTGAAAAAGACCTCATCTGATTACATGTTTAGCTAGCAGCTGTAAATCTATGGGTGCTCCACACAATGCAGCTGAATTTACACGAGCAAAGGGTAAGTCCTATGCCTTAAGATAGCCAACATTCATACCTGCTTCGTGATTTTCTACCATCTATCTTTGTATTAAGAAAAATTCACTTACTGATTAGACAATCAAAATAATACCAATTTCACACACTTTCATTCATCATCCCCTGTGTCAGTTTTATTTTCACCACCCAATTCCAGCCGATGCATTAAAGTACAACATGCCCAGACAGAAGCCCACGTGCTCTGCATGAAAAAGCCATGCAACTATAATATAAACCCATACATTTCTTATCTCTGACAGAGTAACTGAGGGTTAGCACATAACGTATAGCTTTCTGAATATGACACCAACACCTGAAGAGTAAGTCATTTAGAGTTAGGCTGGTCCAGGTGTTGTTTCCCTCTATTTATATGTACTAGGGCACAAAATATACTGTGGGAAAACGGAGTTGTGATATTCATGTCTATAGCCAGCCTTACTGTCCTAATCAACTGCTTGGTCTATACACAAAACAAGGGCAGCCAGTTATTTCATTGCTCATATATGCACGGTACCTACAGCCGACTCATGCAAAGGGATGAGACAGAAACATTCTAAATAACTTGGACAGTCTAACGAAGACACCCAAGATGCATTAAGATCTTGAAAAACAACAGGCGGTTAAACTCCGATTGTGTTCCCTGCCCTGTCCTTTGCTTTACTTTTCCCAATTTTAAGTGGGTGAAATGTAGTTTGTGGCATTGCATGTGATAACAGATACCTAGAGAATCCAATCAGGTGCTTGTTTTTGAAGCTCAGTTTCTGCTCACAAACCTCAAGGCAGTGCTGCTACCAGTGGAACAAAAAACATATATATGGAAATATATGGAAATGAGTTGGCCCAGATTCTTTTCACTTCTCTGCAGTTTTTAGGGAACCTCTCCTTGAAATGCTAGAGGTTAAGTATGATGATAACGGAATACTGTAGAGGTGAGGTTAATGGAGCTACGGGGTTAGTTTTCAACCAGCTCTTCCATTCAGTTGATATCTTTGGCAGTTGCGAGCAATACGATGACTGTATTTTACGGGGAAGTTGTGTCCTGCACACACAACTTTTTAAACAAGCAGTAATTGAATAATCAAATTCCACTTGGATTTTTCTGCTTACAAAAAAACAAAGCCTATAAAGAATATTCTCGATTAACCCTCCCTGCCCCCAAAATACAAAGTGGCCACCAACTGCAGCAGCCACTGATCACACCACTGCTAATCAGTGCTGCAGCAAATGTCCTCAGCCTGGGCATGATGTGCCTACTCGGGACACAGAGCTTGCCCAGCTACGCCTCTGCATCAAAGATCAAAATCTCTCCTCTACCCACACATTTAAGTCCAATGATAAAACTAAAGGATTGTTTCTTTTTTTTATTTATATA